GAGTGGGTGAGTGAAGAAGGAAGGGAGGGAAAAAGAAAAGGGAGGGAGGGAAGGAGGAAAAAAGGGAGGGAGGAAAGAAAAAGGATGAGAGTGAGTGGGTGAGTGAAGAAGGAAGGGAGGGAGGGAGGGAAAGAAAAAGAAAAGAGGGAGGGAAGGAGGAAAAAAGGGAGAGGAAGAAAAAGAGGGTGAGAGTGAGTGGGTGAGCGAAGAAGGAAGGGAGGGAAGGAAGGAAAGAAAGAAAGAAAGGGAAGGAGGGAGGAAAAAGGAAGGAGGGAGGAAAGAAAAAGGGTGAGAATGAGTGGGTGATTGAAGAAGGAAGGGAGAGAAAAAGAAAGGAAGAAGGGATGGAGGGAAGGAGGAAACAAGGGAGAAAGCAAAAGGGTGAGAGTGAGTGGGTGAGTGAAGAAGGAAGGGAGGGAGGGAAAGAAAAAGAAAGAAAAGGAGAGGGAGGGAAGGAGGAAAAAGGAGAGAGGAAGAAAAAAAGGGTGAGAGTGAGTGGGTGAGCGAAGAAGGAAGGGAGGGAAGGAAAGAAAGAAAGAAAAAGCTAGGCCACATCAGCTTTTTCACTTGGCAGCCGCTTTTTCCTCTGACGTGCCAGGCGGAGCTAGAGAGAAGTGGCAGAGCCCTCCTGCCAGTGGGGAAGGAAGAGGAGCCGTGGGCACTGCAAGCCAAGGAGCCTCGGGGCAGCCGACCCAGTTGCTCCGTCCAAGAGAGCAGAATGCAGACGGCTTGGCTGAATGGTGCGATGGCACCGGCTGACCGTTCCTGGCAGCCCCGTAATGTATCACAGGACGCTTTGTCCTTCAAAGCCAGATCTGGGCATTTGCATAGCGTGGTTTAAGCTGCCCATGACCTCAGCCAGATAAAGCGTGTTTCCTTCCCCACGAGAGGCTCCCGACTTCAGCCGCAGCACGCCTTCACCAGTTTTCCGTTCTTCTCCCACTGCTTCATCTCGCTGGCTTTGAGTCAACTTGGGGGGGTTGGGCAAAAGAAGAAGAAAAACGTGTGAAATTAGTAAGCGGCTCAGTCACGAGAGACTGTGAAAAAAAAGAAACGGGCCCTGACCGCAAGCAAAGGCCAATTTCGTTTTCAGCGGGGCTGATTGACTAAGCCACAGTCGGTTGGGTTCACTTCACACAACCTGCTAAGTCATCGGTTACGGTTCAACCCACCTGAGCGGAGTGAAACCAACCTATTTGTTGGCTTAGCCGACTGGACAGGCCTGGCAAAAGAGAGACGAAAAGGAAGAGAGGATGGTGAAGGAAAAGTTGGTGGCCGCCTTCAGGATTAAATTCTAAGTCCATGTTTCTCAACCTTGGACTTCAACTCCCAGAATTCCCGAGCCAGCAAGCAAGCATCTTAAAAGTTGCCAAGAAAAACTCACAGACTTTCAGAATGCAACTTTGAGGCTACGTGAAAGTGTTTGTCCTGAGGGATAGCCGTGTTTGCATCCAGAATCCTCTGCTTGCAAGCTTTAAGAATAGAATAAAAAATACAGTAGAATAGAAAATAGAATAGAATTTAGAATAGAATAGAATAGAGTATGGAATAGAATGGAAAAGAATGGAATAGAATAGAATAGAGAATGGAATGGAATGGAATGGAATAGAATGGAAAAGAATAGAATGGAATGGAATGGAATGGAATAGAGAATGGAATGGAATGGAATGGAATGGAATGGAATGGAATAGAATAGAATAGAATAGAATAGAATAGAATAATGGAATGGAATAGAATGGAATAGAATAGAGAATAGAATAGAATACATTTAGAATATAATAGAATTTAGAATAGAATTAGAATAGAATAGAATAGAATAGAATAGAATAGAATAGAATAGAATAATAGAATAGAATTCTTTATTGGCCAAGTGTGATTGGACACACAAAGAATTTGTCTTGGTGCAAAGGCTCTCAGCGTACATAGAAGAAAAGATACATTCGTCAAGAGTCAATCATGAGGTGCAACACTTAATGATAGTCATAGGGTACAATAAGCAATCGAATCATACTAGGAAACAGTCAATATAAGTGACCTGTTCACTCTTTGGGGCTTGTTTTGCAAAGACTGCCCACTTCTATTCCATTTTGCTGCCCTCTTTCTTGTTCTTTTCCCTGCTTCTCACTTTTTACTCAAGGCTTTCTGCTCCGCGGGGCTGGGTTTTGGGAATTGCCCTGCCTGTCGTCTGAAATGGGGAAATCCCAAGGCTAGCAGAGCCCACTCGCCTGGAGTGAGATCTGAGTAGTGCCTGCAGCTGAATTGAATTACAAACAGCCTGGAAGAATAAAGTACTGAAGAGTTTCCCCTCCTTTCCCCCCTATTCTTTCCCCTTCTCTCTTTTCAGGGAAGCTGGATTCCAAGATTCACCAGGGAGCCAAGAAAGGGTTAATGAAGCAGAAAGTAGCCGTGTGAGTTCACAGATCCTCTTCCTCTTCTACTACAATGCCCATCCTACTCGTGGCTCGAGATTCCAGAGTGGTGGCCCCAGGAGGGCTGATAGGGAAGCACCGGCACTTAGGAACTGAAGGGTTTCCGAAGCAGAAGAAAACAAAGAAGGAAATTGCTGTTATCTTGCATCATTATAATCACAGCCAAAAATAAAAATGTGCTGCGTTGTTTGTGACGGGGGTGGGTGGGTTGTCCTTGGAGAGGGTGGCATTAGGCCTCAGTATCTTCCCCCACAGCCTGGAGAGGTGCCTTAGATTGGCTGGATGCTGTTTGGGGTCCTTTTGGGGTTGCAGTTTCCACCCTTTCCCTAGTTAGGGATGTAACACGGGATGTTCAACCTTGGCAGCGTGAAAGCCTGCGGACTCCCAACTTCCAGAGCCGCCTAGCCACGTTGGCTGGAGAATTCTGGGAACTGAAGTCCACAAGTCTTAAAAAAAAGTTGCCAAGGTTGGACGCTTCTTCGCCCGTAGCAGCTGAAGAGCGTTGACTTGGGAAGGCTTCAGGGGTTTGTGCGCTGAAAGTTACGGACAGAGAATTTTTCACCTGCTTCTCCGCCTTATTTGGCTTCCTATTTTACACAGCCAGTTTGCCAAATGAACCACAACATGACCCACAACAGCACCTGGCTTGGGAAGATGTGCCAGAGTTGTACAAGGCACCCGCCAGAATTGCTCGCTGAGGCCAATTTCCCTTTCTATTTACTAATTTACGAAGTGGGAGTAAGGTCAAGAGTGGGGGAGGGGCTGTCTCTGACTGTCTCCTGTTCCTAATCCGACACCTCACCTTATATCATTTGCTTTTATTCCTGCAAATGCACCCAGGCCCATGGGGCGCACCTGCAGAGAAGCAGGAAGACCTGGCTAAGGGTGGATTTGTGGGGATGAGTTGAAATGCCATGCTGTGCAGGTAGAAAAGTACATTTTATGCCCTCCCTTTAACTGATCCAATTCGCAAACTGTTCTGCAGGAGATGGAGGGTGGATGCAATGCGGTTTGTTCACACCGGTCTTCCTTAGCCCAGGATCCTTGCGATACCTTGGGATTGCAACTCCCAATTCCGAAAGTCGGCTGGGAAGCAGGGAGTTGGAGCGCTTGTGCGAGGAGGGTGGCAGGCTGGGAACAATGGGTCAAGGGCTGGGTGTTGTTTTGAGAAACGAAGTTTTGAGGGCAGGGGGGAGAAGGGAACAGAACACACACACACACACACAGTTCCATTCTCGGATTGAATGTTCAGGCCTTGAATCTGTTTACGCCAAGTGCCATTTCTGCCCACTGCAACTCATGGCAAGGTTGCCCATTCCATCCTGCCCGTTTGGATAGGATCCAGTGCTGCCAGCCAAAAAGCAGCCGGATGAACTGAACTGATAAGATTCTTCCCTTGGCAGCTACAACTGCCGATGCTCCATGCCTCCCGGTGACATTTGGCGTTACTATGGACACCCGAGTGTGTGGGCATGCCGTCTCCCCCTTGACGGCCTTTGCCACCCTTAATCCGGACACCCCTTTCATATCTACCCCCCCTCCCAATCTCCTCCTCTCCCCAAATAAGAGTTGGAAGGTTTCCTTGTCAAAACCTTTGCCACTGTCGAGCGGCAGAGCAATTTCTCACAAGCTGCAACTATTAGAATATTAAAATAGGTGGAGCACATTGTGAGCCATATTGATTATTGAGCTTTTCTTAATGGTTGTAATTGCCTGCCGTGGTTCAATGCTTCTGTTGCTGCTTCGGTGGTCAGCCCGTGACATTGGAGCAGGGGTGGGATTCAAACCATTTTTACGGCCAGTTCTGTGGGCATGGCTTGTTGGGTGTGGCAGGGGAAGGATACTGTAAATTCTCCAGTCCGAGGTGGTATTTGCCGGTTCTCCGAACTACTTAAAATTTCTGCTACCGATTCTCCAGAACTGGTCAGAACCTGCTGAATATCACCTCTGCTGCTCACCCCACTAACCTGCTTTCCAGCTCCATTCTCATGTGCAGAGCAACCAAAGAAGACCCAGCCGATCAGCTGGGACTCAATGGGAGGCAGAAAATAGATGGGAGCAGGGCCAGTCAGAGGTGGGAATTGCCGGTTCTCCAAACTACTCAAAATTTCCGCTACCGGTTCTCCAGAACTGGTCAGAACCAGCTGAATCCCACCTCTGCATTGGTGGTTGCATTCTGATGCCAAGGGCTGTGAACTCCAATCACAATAGCAAAAAAAAAATTTATATATATATATAATTTGAGGATGTGGAAAGAGGAGGAGTGTGGGGTCCTTGGTACTCTCCCAGTTTGTTTTCTTGCACGCGTTTCATTACCAAACTAGGTAACATCACCAGTGCTAAGGTCTGCAAAGAGCTATGGCTCAGCGAGACAGATTTCCCTTCCTTATTTCCAAAGCAGCACGTGGTTTGTTCTCCTTTAGTAAACCAAGTTACTCAACCAGCTGTGGTTCCAGATGGTGGATGCAACCAAGCCAGTTCGGATGTAAGGACTAAACCTGGCTTGAAGTCAAATAAAGGGAAAGGAAGAGGCACTCTAGCCGGGATACAAGGAAGGAGGTTCAGAAATTCAGGAGTGCCAGGTGGATAATGCTATGCGCTGATGGTTTTAGGTGAGCAAACAGACGTTCTGAGAACATTCCTACTGCTGTATGATGTGGATGGGCTTGCCTTCCAAGCAGCTCCATCCCTATTAGGATGTGGATTGCAATTCATGCTGTTTTAAACGTATCAAGAAAGTTTGGAAAGACTCACAAATAAGATGCCAAAACAAGGGAGGGAGGGGGGTCCTTTGGCAAAAGGCTTCCAAAGAGACAATCAATCAGAGGTTTTTATTTTAAATGACAACACTGTGTGGAATTCCCAACTGAAGGTTGATGGTGTTTGGAGGAGAGAATGCGAAACCAAGGAAAAACAAAAAGGATTATTTTTTCCCTCTGAATGTCCTCTTCCCTTCCTCCCCCCCGCGCGCGCCTCTTCTGCAAAAGATTAGGCTTTGTTCCCGTGAAGGGAAAATAGATTTACCTGAATGATAAATGAACTCATGCGGGCATCCGAGATTCCTGAGACAAGCAATTTCACTGCCAGGAAGCAATGCAGCCTACCTTGTAAGTATCTCTTCCTATCTTTCTACAACCTGGGAGCCAAGCAATCCGCAGTCATCTGCAAAATCTGCAAAATCAAAAAGAAAACGGGGGATGGTGTAGTTGTGAATCCTGCAGCAGGCACGGGGTTGGGCTTAATGACCTCTTAGGTCCCATCCGACTCCGATTCTATGAAAAACAATCAACAGGATGTTAACTTACCCCACCCCCCCAAAAAAATACTAATTTATTTTTGTTGCTTTCCTAACGCACTATATTTTCACATAGGTTTTTCTGGATTTTTAGCCACCCAATTCCAAAATTTTAGATGGATGTGTCTTCAAAGAAATACCTTCCTGAGTTCTGCACCCAGGTGCCCTGAAGTTCAATTCATTGCAACAGATTCCACTTGCCAGATTCCTCAGAAAACTTCTCGATGTAATCAGGAAGCAGGTTGACCCAGCAATCTTGGAGAAAATTATATATTCCCTCAATCAGAAAGTGTTACTTTATGGTTGCCTCTGGGGGAAAAATAAATAAATATTAGGTTCGCTGAATACTAAAGTATTCATTTCATTTTTCAGAGAGCTTTAAAATCAGGGGAACTTGACACATAATTTGGACTGAACAGTTTGGAAGGTTTTAGTGTGTTTTTATTTGTCGAATTTCTTTTGAGCAGATAAGTTCATTTTTTTAGTTTGTTTCTTTGTTTGGAAACAGGCTGTATAACGTAAATAAAAATTGTAAAGAGACGTACAGTTAAAAAAGGAGGTGTGGAGCAGGTGGCTGGCTTAGCCGTGATCAGTTGTGCCTGGAAAATAACCTGCATATCAGTTTTCACAGCCAAGAACAACTCTACAATACACAAAATAAACACCATCCAATGTTTGGGCCACAACGATGGCCCATCAGCAGATTAACCCGTAACAAGGTTGGTTTATGGCTTAGCGCATTCCTAAAACCCTTACGGCTTTTAATCTATGGTTTATTGCTTGAAGCAATGTGTGAACCACCCAATTATAGCAACACCTGGGTTAGCACAAGGTGGATTCCTGCAGTGAAGTCTCTTTGGCCCTATTTTCTCCCACCCCATCTGCCACTTCCTTGTCAGTAAATAGAAGAGGCTTTTTTCTCTCTCCCCTTTTATCTTCTAACCCCATCCTTTAATTTCTTAATTATCCCACATGAAAACCAGAAGGGTGGGGTTTAAGATAATTGTTCAGGAGCCCAGGAATGTAACAAGAGAATGCCATTTAATTATTGAGCTGCTTCTGGTAGTTGATCTCTCTTTCCCTTTTAGTTTCCCAGTGTTCTGTGAAGCTCCAACTTTTGGTCTGTGCTTTGCCCAAGAAGGTTGCAAAAAGATAGTGAAATTCCAAAGGTTGATTAATGCATGTGTTCCGCTTTGAAAAAGCTGCTGTGCATGGATTATTCTAATGCCAAAAATCTGACAGTGATTTCTTTGGGCCACTTGCCTTGGCCATTCACTCCTGGCCAACCAGCTTTTTGGCCTGTTGAAATGCCCTGGACACACACACACACACACACACACACACACACACACACCAGAATCCAACTACAAGTAGCCCTCCCCTTATGACCACAATAAGCAAAGCAGTGAAGTGAGCGTTGCCCCATTTTACAACCTCCTCGCCACCGCTGTTAAGTGAATCATTGCAGTTATTAATAACACGGCTTTTCAGGGAATCCGGCTTTTCCCGTTGTCAGAAGGTTGCAAAAGGGGACCCTCGGCAAACCGTCATAAATATGAGTCAGCGGCCTAGCGCCCAAACTTTGATCACCTGACCACAGGGGATGCTGCAACGGCCGTGTGGAAAAGGGTCATCGGTTACTTTTTTCCAGTGACATTGTCACTTTGTGAACCGTCACTAAATGAACTGGCTGTAAGTTCAAGGGCCCCCTGTTCTTTCATTGTCCCCACCAACATGCAGAAACCCACCAACACTTCTCAACCTTCCTGTCTTCCCACATCATTCGTTATCCTAGAAAACGGAGCATGCTAGGTATGAGTCATACTTTAGAGGTGTGTGTGTGTGTATAAAATCAACAAGACTTGCAC